AAAACCCCAAAACCCCAAAACCCCAAAACCCCAAAACCCCAAAACCCCAAAGCTTTAAAAGAATTGAATAAATTCGAGATTTCGGCAGAATAAATTCTTTATAATCCGAGGAATTTCTTGGTGGCTAGATGCGAGCAAATGAAAAGATACCGAACTTTTGCGATGTTTGAAGTCTCTATTGAAGCCAATAGGTTAGATATGAAACTTTGCTTAAAATAATGGAAGATTAGATACTCAATTGAAACCCTTGACTAGTAGGAATCTAGAGTCAGAATATTATTAAAATAACTGGCAGACTCTGACCTGTGCTTTGGAGAGGAGTTGACTAGATAATAACCAACATTTTTGAAGATTTCACTGATTGACATGGAAGCCAATACTGAAAATGGAGTAATCTATTGACATAAGTTTATATAGATAAAACCTCTAACTTTTCTTCTTTTATATCTAACAATATAGTACAAAAAATTAACCTCAAGTCAGAAATTTTTCATATTTACCTAATTTTGTAATCTGGCTTATTAAATACCACTTTAATAATTCTTTACCCACTAAAATACAGGAATCTCATTAAAACTTTTTTAAAAAACCTAACTCTAATTGTTATCTCTGGGTGCAAAATCCAGTTCTAAAATCTCAAAATTTGCCAGATCATTCATAAACGTCCATCAAATTCTAAAACCAATGAAACTCTTTAATTTATTATCAAATGCTAACTAGGCATCGAAAATAAATTTTTCATAATCCGTACTCAAATCAGGAATTCAAAATGAAAAATTCCTACAAATATTCCAAAGAGTTCTAAAATTTCCTTGAGAAATTTAGAAGCAAAAATTTGATAAATTTAGACAAGGGGTACTGGAACTCCACAAATTTACTAAACAGTTAAGGTTATAATAACTCGCATGCGTCAATGCTATTGAACCTCTTGTCTGCACGGCTTATCATCTTCCTTCTAAATTTAGAATCCTGGTGAAGCCTGTAACCAAAAGATGTATATAGTAATTTCATTTTATCACCTTCAGATGCCTTCCTATTCACTTTACGCTTAAATTTCTGGTTTACCAAAGACTCATAGCGATTTTTAACTGTTTCGGTTGCCAACTGGCTGGATGCCCTAGTATTCTTAGTATCATCGAGACTAGTATTATGACTCTTCAGACCAAAAGTTAGGTTCCTCCTGCACAATCTATCAAAATCTCCAGTGGTGGGGTTGTAAATATTATGAGTTCTGACTCTAGCAATCTGTTCCAAGTGTCCTGAATTCTTAAACGTAATCTTCTTCTTATTTATCAAAGGAGACACAGGAAATATCTTAGTAGGTAAATACTTATCCAACTCCTTCTTGTGTAACACAGGAGTCTTTGTCTGCAAGGATTCGTTCCTCTTCTTCCTCGTACCTATGAAAGTCTTGAACTTAAGCATTGGGATACTCTTCTTCGGCTCAGGACTTCTAATTAAGTTCTGCTTCTGCACTGTATCCTGTAATGAAATTTGGTCACACACCAGTCTGGTCCCAGTAGTACTCTCATCTCCCTTTTTCTGGTTGCTGAGTCTAATAAAGTTTTTCCTCTTAACATTGGAGTTATTGTTGATGCTAATAGTCTTGTTCATGTCTTCAAAGATATAATTAGTGAGTCTTCCCCAAAGTCCGGAGTTCGGCTTCTCTTCGTTCTCTTTTGGACCGAAAGGTAATGGAGCATATTTAGTAACTCACTCGTACTGGCTATAAGGGCCAAAGTAGTACTTAAGTTTTCTTGCAGTCGACCTCTTGGGCTGATACGCATAGTGGTTAAGTTTGGCCTGAATTTCAGATGCTTTAGGCTCTTTCGTTGAAGTAAATATCTTCTTTCCTTCTTTCTGTAGTCTGGCTCTTTTGACTGGAAGCTAAACCAACCATTTCAACCCCAAAGTTTCAAAACTTTCTAAACTTTTTTCAGGCCAACCTATTGCATTAGTAAGAATAATATAACTCAAAATTATGTGAAACCTAACTGAAAGCAACCAGAATAGAGGTTTACCCCATTTGGGAATGAATTAAGTACCTCATTATACTTTACTCCTGTTTGCTATACCCAAAGCATCAGAATCAGTTTCAAACGGCTGAAATAGAGAAAAGTCTGGGCAAGTAAAGGAAAATGTCTACTTCTTGCACTAGAGGAGGGTAATCCGTCCTAATAGGGCTTAGCTAACTCTGGTTCTGTGGATTCTTATTCCTAGCGATAACTCTCATTAAACTTTTGGAACCAAAATTAGAGTATCACCTTCACACCAGGATATCATATAGGATTTAAGAAAATTCGATTTCGATTCAAAAGCCGAGGATAGCATTTCCGTTTAGATCCGGATCAAAATTTTCGTAGTAGCGTTTTCATTCATTTTCCAATATTTGAAGAATTCATCGAGTGTAAATTTCCACAGATGAGTAAATATAGATTGGTCCCATACCTCTGTAGCGCTTAACGCTAAGTGAAGTAGTTTGCTAACTTATTATATCAACTAAAATTGATAGTAAAGGAAATTATTGTATCGAAACCATCTCAAAGCCATCAAAATGTTAAATTTCTTAAAATTCCAAGGGCGAAATCGCTTGTTAACCTCCCCTTAAGATTGGGTTTTCATACCTTTTTGTTCATATTGATCATACGAATAATATTTAAAATAAATTGAAACTTCAGTCTTAAAAATTATGGAAGGGGTTTTGGGGTTTTGGGGTTTTGGGGTTTTGGGGTTTTGGGG